AGAATTGGATAAATTCTTTGACCAGGAAACGTTTACAGGCCTATAGGAGGGGGTGGGGGGAAGTGGGAAAGCGGAGGAATAAAATGAGTTAGTACAAGCATTATGGGCCAATTGGAATCTTTTTTGTGCTGCATCTTTCTAAGATCCTTAGTTTGTACATATGCCTCCATTTCTCCTAACCGGTCTGCCTTTTACGTTGCAGGGAGTGGAGGATGCTTTTTACACTTTGGTCCGAGAGATCAGCCAACACAAAGTCAGGAAATCAAATCCACCAGATGACAGTGGGCAAGACTGTAACAACTGTAAATGTGTGATATTGTGACTTCTGGTAAGTTTGATCAATAATCAATCAGGCTTTGTCAGTCACTCTACAGGTTACTACTTCCTTTTATTTTCTAGTTCATTATCTTCACTCTGTTCCACAGTTACCGCACAGGTTTTGTGCTTCCTATTTTACTGGCAGTGTTGTTCTCTCTGTATTATCCAACAATTTTGAAGATTCATGGTTTTGTTGCACACTCCTATTTCCCATCTGCATGATGCCCCTTGGCATCATCTGAAGACATTTTCAGTTCCGTGTGTTTTGCTGATGATATCCAGCTGTATCTTACTGCCTCCACCCAACTCCTTCACAGCATCAGCTTTGCCAGGCTGTTGGCTGCTCTTCAAACTGAGCAGAGGTTTCCTGCAATTAAATATTGGGAAGATAGCCATGGTTTTCAGTCCTGACCACCTACCTCTATTCTATACCTACTGTCTCCAATCCCTTCTCAAGAGTCTGGTTCAATCTCTGACTTCATGACCATCAGAGATACCGAAACCTGCAGATGCTGGAGTCTAAAGTGTGGAGCTAGATAAACACAGCATCAGAAGAATAAGAAAGTTGACATTTCAGGTCAGGACCCTTCCGAAATTGTTTTAAGTGACCCTAACATGACCAGGCCATTTTGAAGACTGCTGATTTTTCACCTCTAACATCCCCCAACTCTGTCTCAGCTCACATGCTGTGGAAACTCTGCTCCATGCTTTTGCTACATCTAGACCTGACATACAATCCTGGCTTGCGCCTCACATCCTACCCTCTAAAGACCAGTTCATCCAAAACTCGGCTCGTCTCACGAAGGCTTGTTCATCCATCGCTGTTGTGCTTATTAACCTGCTTTCTCATTGACCTTGCATTTGGCAACATACCCGTTTTTAAAATTCCCATCCTAGGTTTTCAGGTTTCTCTGTGGTCTCATTTCTCCCTAACCCTGTAACCTCCACCAACCCCATTGCCTCTAAGACCTCTGCTCCAATTGTGCCTCTTGCACAATCCCTATTTTTAATCCCTCCTCCAACTAGACATTTCAGTTTTGGGCTCGGAACTCTGGAATTCTCTTCCTAGACCTATCTAGATGTGTCTCTTGCCCGCTCTCATGTGCTCTGTCTTTTCTTTTCTCCCTGTTTCTGTGTATCTCTCCCTCTTCTTTTTGAAGGCTTCAAAAGACCAAGGTCTCAGTCACCTGCCCTAATTGTGCTCTGTGTCCATTTAGAATCTATGTACCATGTGATGGTGCCATGGGAAGATCTGTGAATATGATGTGTTTTTGCTGGATGTATGTTGAGAGCATTTGATTTGCCCTTGATCGTATCATGCTCCAATAATGTATCAGTAGGTTGGAGTCAAAAGTGATGTCTTCAAGTCCAACTCTAGACTTGAGCACAAGGTGACTAGTGACAATATCCATTTCTGTACTGTGGAAGCATTGTGGAGTTGGAAGGTCCCTGCTGACAGAAGGCTGCACTGCCAGAGATTGGGAAATATTTAAACTGAGCCCTGTCTCTTTGCTCAAGTGGATATAATGGATTCTGCAGCACTCTTACGAACAGCAGGGTAATTCTGCCTGGTGTCATGGTCAATATTTTTCACTATCAATTAAGTTGGTTATCTGGCCATTTATCAATGTTACACACGGGACCTGGCTGTGTGTAAATTAGCAAAACTGACTGGTACTTTACCTGAATTACTTTGAGCTGTTTGGCACCTTCTGTGCACTTGGAAATTACTGTAGTTCCAAGATCCTTCCACTTGTTGAATGTACAAACAGTTGCCACGTGATGGAGCCATGGGACAGAGTTAGTGTAAGATGATGAGGAATCCAAGAACCTTACTCTGTAATAGGCCATTCATGCTGTCTATATTGGCTCTTTTGTCAATACAATTTAATTGCCTTTTGAGTTCTTTCCTTAAAGTAGTTTTCAAAAAATACTCGACCTTGCTCAAAAATATTACAACATTGTGGGAGCTTGCTCTGTGCAAATTGCTGAATTCCCCACATTGGAACAACAATTGCACTTCACAAAGTACTCCATTAGCTTTGATTTTGTCCAGAGGTCATGTGAAGTGTAATGAGAATTCACAGCTTGCTTCCTCTTTGCGAATCCTCTTCCTCCAGCCTTTTTTCCTCATTCTGTGCAGCATATTCCAGCTCACAAATCACTTTTTTTGTGCATGTAACAGGAGAAAAAAAACTCCTCTCTGCCTCTGGTTCTTTGGGCAATTGTCTTAAATCTGTGTGCCCTGGAAATGACTCTTCTGTCAATAAAAACAATATTTTTCCCCTGAGCTTTTTAACAATGTTGATGGTGATCCTTTTGGCCTTTTATCAATGAGACTGAGCTGAGTCTGATCAGAACCTCAACAGCATGCTGTGCTCTGTTGAGACCTCACTCGGTGGTTGAACCCTCAAGTCTAGAACAATAAAATCCCTTCAGTGTGGAAAAAGGCCATTCAGCCCATCAAGCCTGCACCAACCCTCCAAAAAGCATCACCCTACCCCCCCCTCCCCAACCCCGCATTTACTATGCTAACCCACCTAACCTCTGTCTGTGTGATCTTCCTCCAGATGCTCTGGTTTGCTCCCATTGTCTCAATGTGCAAACTCCACACAGTCGCAAGAGGGTGAAATTGAACCCAAGTCCCTGGCATTGAGGCAGCATTGCTAACCACTGAGCCACTCTACCACCCTTCTATGGATAACTATACCACATCAGAAATAAGTTAGCCATGAGTTAGTATATAGGAAGCCACTAGTTAGTGTATAAGAGCCCACCTGTGCCAAAAGGTCATGGCTTCAATTCTAACTACGATGACTTACTGACAGACGCTTGCTGCAGGGCGGAAGGGGTGCTGCACCTAGCTGTTTATGGGTTGTTGCTGTGCAGATAGTGCTGAACCCTTGTGCTGAAACAGTGACTGACTACAGCACTTCTGGGGGGCCTCAGTTTGTGAAAAGTGCAAAAGTCAGATTTCTACCCTTGTCATTTGAGGAGTTGAAAATTATGCCACAAGCAGAATTCACTGACTTCAGTGTCCCATATGTATGGAATTAGAATTTGTTTTAAATTGATTTTGAGGTATGCTTTGGATTGACTGATTTGTGAATGTATGTTTAGTCCACAGGAACATTTGACGTTTCATTCAACACACTGGTACAAGAGCGAACAAGTTATGGAGTAGTGAAAGAAGGTGACAGCAAGGAGAGAAGTTGGGAAGAGTGACTGCTGCTGTATAATAGAATGGTGTGAAGGAGCCTGTTGTGTATGACTCTCATCGGCTGCCACCTGCTCTAACACGGGTCTCCAGTTGTACAGAGCCATAGATTTTCAAATCACACTAAATTATTCTTACACTAGTTACCCTGTGATTCAGTGTCCCATTTCAACATTGCTGGGAATGTGTTCCTGCCATAAATATTGTATATAAATGACTAATGTGAAGTTACAGGATCTTGATATTGTTTTATACTTTTGAGCTGATCCATTTTCTTTTCTATACAAAGAAAATTGCCTGTGATTATTTCAGTGCTGGCAACACAGCTTTGTCTTCAAACAGTGACAATGTGAATGAGTATGATTCTGTACATAATTGACATTTTGGGTAGCTTCCATTTGTTGCATTGCTTTGTAAAAGGATGTACAATCCCTTCATTGAGATCTTTGCCATGTTTTCAGAGGTTGGTATTTTGGACTGATGGGGTGGGGGGGATGGCAAGGGCTAGGGTATGTTCTATGAAGAGGTTGATAGCTACTTACTGCTGTGTTAGTGGGAAGTTTCCTTTGTTTTAAAATGGAAATAGCTAGTGTAAATCATGTAGTGTTCTATACAATCCCAGTCAGCCAACAGGTAGCTCAGAGCAAGAGGCAGCAGTCTACTTTGGGCAAAGTGGCTGCATGATTTTTAAACACATTTCCCATTCTCATCACTTTTTTTTAAAAGAAACCAGGATCTCTGATTTGGTTTCTTGCTCCTAGAGGAAAGTTTCTCTTAATCCCATTCCATCTATTATTGAAGCTCTAGTAGATGCCTCGTGTCATTGAAATTGAAAACTTCCAATGTTTTGGGATGAGGTGAGGAGGTGCTCAGTAAAGATTCAGTCAATCCCATTGACTCTTCCCTGCCAGCCTGCAGTTATTTGTTTCACTCTACAGTCCTGAGCACTGCATGAACGAAGGTGATCTGTACATCAGTATTACTTCCCACAAGTTGACCAGTTACACAGAAGGGTCCTGCCAGATTAAATGACCCACATAACTGTACAGCAGCCGTTAAGTCCCCAGCTGTGATTTTGAAGCAAGGTCTTGGGTATCATCTAATTCTAACATTGGTGTTGTGGTGTAATGGTAGTGTCTGTACCTCTGGGTCAGAAGGTCCAGGTTTTGTTTCAGACCATAACGTGTGAGCAGGTTGGTTAAACATAATTAATTCAAACACTACTGAGAAGCAGAGCAAAGTATCATTCTTTTAAATACTTTAGCTCGGACAATCTCTTTTTAACATTTTATATTTTACTGAGGCAGTAAAGAGCCTTTAAGTATGAAACTGGTGGTAATTGTAAACAGAACAAGAATAGGTACGGTCAAGACATCAGACTAAGGGCTACTTTGTGTGCCAACTAGATTTCTTTCTTTGAATCTTTTAATGGTCAGTGCTTCAGAGCTCACCAGTTCGAGTTGGGTTGTATTCTTCGGTGAAAACCTGACAATCCTGTCAAATCTGGGCCAGAGTTGTATCATCCTGATCCTGTGTATTCATAAGTGAACTATTTCTGTTTCAAGCTGCAGTCCTGTGGGTCTCGCTCAGTTTTTGAAGGGAGGGCTCATGTTGCCAACATGCTGCCAATTCTCTTATTTCCCCAGAAAATGTACAATTTGTTAAATTCTGTTCAATAAAAAGATTTGAAGAAAAATTGCTTTGAACTTTGTTTATTGTAAGTGATTATGCAGAGCAGTGAGGGGCTTTGAATGGAGAAAACTTGGACCTTGGGGAAATTCAAACCCCTAATGTAATGAAAGGAGTGGGTGATTGTGGGTTATGGGAGTACAAAGACTATGGTAGCTTCCCATGGTCAAACAATAAAGATGGAGTCACTCAGTTGCCTAGTGCTGGTGCCTTTAGGGGTGCCTAGTCCCAACACACCAGCCTGAGCAATTTCACCCTCTGCTCTCAGCTGTTTGCTCAGATTTATTATTTAAAATCTTGGGTCTTATGGTGCTGGGGATTGTAGTGTAAGACAGTTGTTAACACTGCCTCATGGGTGGGTGAATTTAACAGCAGTCAGGAAACTGAGCAGCCTTGGGATCCCTTCCTTCTGGAGAAGGAAGACCTGGATGTATGCCTTAATGAAGGATTTCAATAGGTTAGATGTGTTAAGATTTTTTTTGTTTTTACTTGTCAGTGATTCCAGAAAAAGGAGGCATAAATGCAAAATGGTCACTAATATCAAATTGCAGGCTTCCTGAACTCAGGAGGGTTTTCTGACCATTGTATCTGTATCATCACTCAGTTATCCAGGAATACAACAATGCTCTTTCCCATAGCCCTACAAATATTCCCCACTCACACTATCCACTTCTCTTCTGAAAATCATTACTAAATCTGCCTCCACCACTCATCCAGACAATGCTTTCCACGTTTGTCTCTTTTTAAAATCACTTCCCTAATCCTTTGCCAATCATTTAACTCTGTTCTGTCATTACTACCTTTCTGCCAACCATTCCTCCTGACTTACTGTCAAAAGCCCTGGCAATTTTTGAATGCCTCCATCAAATCTTTTTTTTTTTTTTTTTTTTGCTTGGAGGAGAATAATCCCAGCTTCTCCTGTCTCTTGCTTTGTTGGAAATGCTGTCTTTCAAAAGATTCCAACCATGAAGCCTTGTCTGACTCCCCTGATGTATGTAATAGATCTGTGTTACCATTTCCAAGTTTATTCCTGGTGTTCTGGACCAGTCACATCAGACCTGCCCTGATACATATCAAAATGAAGCTGTATTCTGAAGAGTAATATAAGACTCCATGTTAACTGTTTCTGTCTCTACAGATGCTGCCAAATCTGTTGACTTTCTCCAGCATTCTGTATTTTTTTTTTTTCACATTTCCAACACCTACTATCTTGTTTTTATTTGGCTGGTTGCTGTGTTTCCTACGTTATGACAGTATGTTTCAAAGGTACTTCCTATGACCACACATGGTGCTATAAAAATGCATGACTGTCTTCTTCATGACTATATAGAAGGAATTTCTTAATGTCATGAGAATGCTGAATTGCTGTTGTATGAAGCATTAAGGTGTCCAGGAGGCAGTGGAGCAACGGTTGGAAGATTATAATTAATGTGCAAGGTGGTTTGTGGTGCATGAATACTGGTGTAGACTATTTGAACTAAATAGCCTGTTTCTCTCCTTAAACTCCAAATAAGAAACAGGACAATTTAACATTGAGATGAGAAATTTCTTCACTCAGTAGGTGGTGAAGCATTAGAATTGTCTTCCCCAGCTGGCAACAGCAGCCCAGTTGTTGAGCATGTTCAAGTCTGAGCTTAATAGACATCTATGTAGAATAGAACATGGAACATCAAACAGTACAGCACTGGAACATGTCCTTCAGCCCACTGTAACTGTGCCAATCATGATGCTATGCTAAACTAACCCATGTGCCTTCACACAGTTGAGATCCTGCTCTTCCCTGCCTGTTCATGTTTGTCTAAATGTCTCAAACTTTCCTAATGTATCTGCTTCTACCCTTCCCTGGCAGCATGTTCCAGGCACCTACCCACCTTCGCATCTCCTTTTAACTGTTCTCCTTCCACCTTTAACCCCATGTACCCCACCCCACCGTCCCCCAGGTATTTGACATTTCCACTCTGGGAAGGTTACTTGTTTCAAAAAAAAAAAAAAAAAAAAAAAAAAAAAAATTCTAACTATCCATAGCTTTCATGATTTTCTATACTTCTGTCAGGTCACTCAGCCTCTGACACTCGACTGAAAACAATCCAAGTTTGTCCAACCTCTCCTTCATAGCTAATACACTCCAACCCAGCAATATCCTGTCAAAACTCTTTTGCAACTTCTCCAAAGCCTTCGCATCACTCCTATAATGTGGGGACCAGAACTGCGCACACTACTCCAAATGTGGCCGAAGTAAAGTTTTATACAACTGCAACATGACTTGCCAACCCTTATACTCGGTGCCCCAACCAATGAAGACAAGCTTCTTTACCATCTTATCTGCTTGTGTTGCCACTTTTAGGGAGCTATGATCTTGCATCCCAAGGTCCCTCTGTATATCAGTGTTCTTAAGGGTCCTGTTATTTGCAGTAGACCTTCCTCTTGCATTTGACCTCCCAAAATTCATCACCTCACACTTGGCCAGCTTAAAGTCCATCTACCATTTCTCTGCCCAACTTTCCAACTGATCTATATCCTGCTGCATCCTTTGACAACCTTTCTCACTATCCACAACTCCACCAATTTTTGTCATCTGCAAACTTGTGCAGGAAAATGTCGTTGAAGCTCAGCAGTGCTCTCCGACAGTGAACCTGAAGGACTGGATGACCAACCCATTCTATTTTCTTCAGTTCTTTTGAAATTTTCACCATTGAGAGAAATTAGATTCTTGAGTCATAACGTTATGGTATATGGAACGAAGGTAATCGGATTTACAGTATGGATTGGTGGAAAAAAAAAGGCAAGAAACATGGATAATAGAATCTGGATAGACTGCAGGGATAGCCATTTTGGTAGGAGGAATGGAAATGCAGTGTGTTTCTTAAATGGTGAGAAATTGGGAAGCGATGCCTAAAAGGACTCAGTTTTTACTTACGAACATCATCTAACATGCTGCTGTAGCAAGCATTAGGAAGCAAGTGATACGACGGCCTTCACCATAAAAGGATTTAATGTAAGGAGTAAATTGTCCAGCTTCAATTGTATAAAACATTGGTGAGACCATTTGTTAGGAAGTTTTGGTCTTCTCACCCAAGGAATGACATGTATTTTCCATGGTAGGTGTGCAGCAGAGATTCACCAGACTAATTCTTGGAATGGTGGAGTTGTGTTCTCTAAAGTTTGGAAGAATGAAAACATTTCTAAATTCTTGTGTACAACCTGGGTGGATGTAGATAGGATGTTTCAGAATAAGGGACAAGCTGTTTAGAACAAGATGAAGTATTTTTGTTGCTCAGAGGATAGTGAACCTTTGGAATTCTTTATCCCAAAGGGTTGTTGATAGATTTCTAGACAATAGCAAAGGATGTAGACATAGTGTATGAATGTGGAATAGAGATAAATTATTAGCCATGAACTAGTAGGTGGAACAGGCTCGAGGGGCAGAATGTGCTGTTCCTGTGCTATGCTGTAACAATTTGAGTTGTTTTCAACACCTAACGGGATAATTTCTAGTCACTAGAGGTGGGGAACATGAATAGTCACCAGCAAGTCCCACGGAATTCTGCTTTCACAGCAGGTACTCCAAAGCTCCCACACGAGTGGTATAGTTAATATAACAGGCACAATGTTTAGCAATTATTAACCTGCTGTCGCTCAGACTTTCACCTTGGATTAATAATTCTCACACTGAGACACTGAATCCTAATTTACAAAATCTCAGCCACAAACTATTATGGTTTGAAACGTTGATTTGAAATAATTCCCTTGAGTGAATTTGACAGTGCTGACTGGTCAGCTCCTAATCAACCTTTCAGATAGTGCTTCACACTAAACAGAATGCATCCTTCTCAAATGAAAGTGAGAGTTTGTACTTCTTTAAGGCCTTTCACAATATCAGACTGTTACAGGAAACTTTTCTGTTAATTATGTAATCCCACACATTCCTAATCCCACTCACAACCATTGATATACCCTTTAATTTCTCACTCTGTCTAATCCCACTCAACCACACAATCCCCCTTATCCTTTAATAACTCATTCAGTCTAATTCCACACTCCTGCTTGCTCCTATGTCCTTTAATACCACACCCTGTTTAATACCACGGTCCTTCTCAGTCCCTGTATCCTTTAACAATGAACCCAATCTATTCCTACTCTGCCACACACATGTTGATACTCCACAGTCTAATCTTGTTCAGTCCCCAAACTCTTTAATGTCCCATTTATTCTAATTCCACCCATTTCACATCCCACACATTAAAATCCCATTTTTCTGCTCAATCCTCCTAACTTTTAAAACCCCAACCAGTTTGATTGTCAGTGAAATGGCCCTTTGTTTCTATATCTGTTGTTTTATGATGTATACGTGTAATTTTCACAGAAAACATTAAATAAAACCAATGAACTGCTGATGCTTGAAACCAGACATGAAAACAGAAATCATTGGAAAAGCTTAGCAGTTCTGGTAGTATCTGTGAGATAGCAAGAACTGAAGATGCTGGAGTCAGAGATAACACAGTGTGGAGCTGCAGGAACACAGCAGGCCAGGCAACATCAGAGGAGCAGGAAAGTTGACGTTTCAGTTCGAGACCCTTTTTTTTCTGAAGAAGGGTCCTGACCCGAAATGTCAACTTTCAGCTCCTCTGATGCTGCCTGCCTGCTGTGTTCCCCCAGTTCCACACTGTGTTATTTCTGGCAGTATCTGTAGTGTGAAGAAGGGTCACTGGATCAAAGTGTTACCTTTGCTTTCACTCCACAGATGCTGCCAGACCTGCTAAGATTTTCCAGCAATTTCTGTTTTTTGTTTAAAATAAACATCCTTGATGCCACAGCTATTTTTCTGCTGGACTTCACCTCAAAAGTGCACTGGAGATGGATTTCTACTGACTGGAGAATTGGGGACTATTATGTGTTGTTGAGTTGACTGTCAGTAAATTAAATTTACTCTTGATTAAAGCAGTGAATATAGGAACGGAGACTGGCACATTCCACACCTGGGGCTGAAATACCTAAAGGTGAGGGTGA